GCAAGAAGTATTTCTCCAACCTCTTACTATGCAGGGCCCCGACCTAAAGGACTTATTGTCATGTTGACTAAAGGCTCAATTAATTGTAAGAAGTATTTCTCCAACCTATTACTAGGCAGGGAACCAATCTAAAGGACTTATTGTCATGTTAACTAAAGGCTCAATTAATTGCAAGAAGTATTTCTCCAACCTATTACCAGGCATGGTACCAACCTAAAAGAGTCTTATTCGGTTTGTTCAGATGAGTTTGTGTGAGTTGATAAACTCTATAAATACAACTTGGTACAGTTTCTCAATTTGGTATATTAATTGACATTATAGGCTTTTTTTTTTTTGTCCTTTTTTTTAGTGAGCTGTGAGCCCCTTTATCATTTAAAGATTTGTCAGAAATTGGAGGCTGTGAAAGGAAAATGTGGGAAACTGGGAATGCAGTGGCCCAATAAAGTCATGACGTGTTCAAATCCAAATCTTCAACGAACCAATCTTTAGAAAAGCCTCAGCCTTTTTTTTTTGATGTAGAAAAGCCTCAGCTTTTAAATAGACGGAAAGCACACAGAACAGGGAGCAGACAAGTCCTTAAACTGTCTGGGTACATTCATCGATAAAAATTCTCACCCTTCTCTGCTCAGTAACTGGAGTTTGTGAACGACCCGTTTCGATCTAGTGATATTGGATTTTGAATTAGAATTGTTCATCTCTGATAAGTTACACTTTTAAGTCTCACGAAAATTCTTTTCTTTCTCTCCCAATTAACTCTGTAAATAATTACAAATTGTTCCAAAAAAAAAAATAATAACTGGAGCTTGTGGAAGGGAAATTGTGGATTCCATGACTCAATGCCCCACCCTACCTAACATTCAATATTTGCTATGAGCTTGTTCCTGAACAGCTAAACCAACAAACCTTTAAAATTCATGTATGTCAATCTCATATACCTACCAAGACTATACGGCTCACACCTTCCTCTGCATGGTGAGGAGAGCTACTCTCTTGACCACTCACAATCTGCAAAATCATTATACCAAAATTAAAAATATTTGTCTTAATTGAGAAGTGTTCATTTTTAATATATTTTAGAATCATATACCCACTATAATTTGACATTTTATGAAAGTATAACCAACAATTTACCAAGTGCATGAAGTACCAAGTGTTTGAAGTGCTGAAATTGACAATGCAAAGAGTATCAAACTTACTATGTTCCTGCAGCTAGGGGTGGATATTGGTTCGGTTCGATTGAAATCAAACCTGAAATAATGGTTTTAATCGGTTGAATATTTTGTGAGATAACAATAAAAAATTAAACCGAATAATTTTTCAGTTGCTTGGTTCGATCACTAAATTAATCAGTTCGGTTGACATCGATTTTGGGTGAGGTTTTCACCCATTCTAGCTTTAGGCCCATAACTTCCTTTTTGGGTTTGGGCCTTTGTTTTGTGACCCCAATATCCAACAAATGCTCTGCGATACATTTCCCTTAATTTTATGATCCAAATTATTTGGACCTAACATCCAAAGCAACAAAACTAATAAGCCATCACATTTTATAAGTCCAAAAAAAAGCATAAAAAATTGTTCCATTTTTTCTTATTTCCTGCAACACATGGCTTATAAACTATGCAAAACTGCAAAACCGAAACACTAGACTCAAAAGTGGCTCATCATAGCCTCAAGGCTGGCTGTTAACAAACTCAACACCACATGATTGTAGACTATGTAAAACTAAAGAATCCCAATTTTAAAACCTAAGCAAAAGTTTTCCATTAAAAGAAAAAATTCTAAGCAAGATTGCAAAAATCAAAAGACAATTTTATATTTTTACCTATGGGGAAAGGGGTGGCAAATCTGCTACATACAAAAATCAATCAAAAATTCTAAAGTTCCAAATATTAACCATAAACTTCAAAACCAACACAGCTCCTTGAAACCTTACCCAATTGGATCTGCTCCTTCCCTGCCTCTGGACAGAGATTTGGGCCCTGATATGTAAGAACCGGCCTCATATCAAAGTTGATAAGAGGCTAGATTCGCCAAAGAACAAATCAAACCCCAGATACAAATCAAGAACTCAGGTGGGAGTTGGGTGAGTTCGGAATTTCTTGATTTCGCAGCTATTTGCGCGTCGTCACCATCACCATCACCGATCTGCAGATATGGGCACATCCTCACTGTTTTTGACATTCACTCACCTCTAGCCTTTTCCGATGACCATGAATCAAATATCGAAGATGAGAGGAAAAATTGAGAATGGAAGGAGAAATCAGAGATAAGGGGAAAGGTGAAAGCTTGGATGAGATTTGATGGTTCTGAGGCCATGGAATCTGATGAAGATGATGACCAGAGAAGAAAAGAAGATGGTTGCCGACGACGAATGGTTGAAGCAGAGGGAAAGGAATCTGTGTGGGGAGAAAGATAAGAGAAGAAATAGGGTAGTTGATTGTTCATGATGGTTGAAGAAAAGAAGATGGTTGGAGTGGGGGGAAAGATTTTGGCAGATAGTTGAAGGTAGGGGTGTTCATATCCGATCTAATCCGATTGATCCGACCTAAACTGATCCAATCCGATTAAAAACCAAACTAAACCGATGTAAAATTGGATTAGTTTGGATTATAAAAATTTAAAACTGATATAATTGGTTTGGTTTGTGGTTTTACTTTCAAACTGCCCGAACTGGCCGATTATAAAAAAAAATTCGATTATAAAATAACTTAATTAAATAATATAATATTTTTATAATATTTCAAATTTTTTTTCTTAT